AGACAGAGACAGACAGAGAGACAGAGACAGACAGAGAGACAGAGAGAGACAGAGAGACAGAGACAGAGATGGAGAGAGACAGAGACAGACAGACAGACAGAGACAGAGACAGAGACAGAGAGAGAGACAGACACACAGAGAGAGACAGAGACAGACAGAGAGACAGAGAGACAGAGACAGACAGACAGAGAGAGACAGAGACAGACAGAGAGACAGAGAGACAGAGACAGACAGACAGAGAGAGACAGAGAGAGATAGAGAGACAGACAGAGGGAGAGAAAGACAGAGAGAGACAGAGACAGAGAGATACAGAGACAGAGAGACAGAGAGACAGAGACAGACAGAGAGACAGAGAGACAGAGACAGACAGAGAGAGAGAGAGAAAGGGAGAGTCCAAAACAGAGATGCGGGTGTTTGGGGGGTCCATGGAGAGAGAGAGAGAGAGAGAGAGAGAGAGAGAGTCCAAAATAGAGGCTGGGGTGATGGGCCCATTGGTAAGGTGTTTGAGAGCATTGCAGCCTGTCATCCTCATTGCCGTGTAAGCACCAGGCACTACGGTACATGTCTGTGAGGGCAGTGCTGAGGAAATGGGGTCAGGACTGCAAGTCTAGAACAGAGGGTGAGCTCCAGGTTCAGGACCTTGTCTTAATAAGGTGGAGAAAAACAGAAGACACCCAGTGTCAAACTCTGGCCTCCACATGTCTATGTGCACACACAAACATACACACATACATAAAACTTAAGAGCGTGCTGCTCTTGTAGAGAGTTGATCTGAATTAGGTCCCAGCATCTGTGTTGGGTAGCTCACAACTGCCTGTAACTCCAGCTCTGGGGGATCAGATGCACACACACACACACACACACACACACACACACACACACACACACCCCTAAAACAAACAAACCTGGGTCCTCTACAAGAGAAACAATTGTTCCTAACCACTGAGCTGTTTTTGTTTTGTTTTGTTTCTTTTGATAAGGGATCTTACTATGTAGTCCAGGATGATCGGACACTTCTGATCCTCTGACCTCAGCCTCCCACATTTTGGGACGACAGGCACACACACCACCACATACTGCTGGCTGCTCACAAGGTTTATTTACATTAACTGAAGTGCATCCCAATTGGATAAACGATGGCAGAGACAGAACAGAATATCAAGCGACAAGAAAACCTTCCTCTTTGCTTCACATGTCATGAGTGAATTTCATGCTCATGCCACGCAAAGGACGCCAGACACAAAACGATAATGTTTTAAACGATGCTATTTTTGTGAAGCATATGAACAGGCAGAGCTAATCCATGCTCTGAGGAGACAGGATGGGATTACAGTTAGGGATGCCACAGACCAGAGGAGACACCGGGGAGACTCCCTGGGACATCCTGTACCTTGATCTGGGTTGGAGCTAAACAGATGTACGTACAGCTCACTGGGCTGTACACGTAGGACTTGTGTGCCAGTGTCTGAGAGTTATGCCCTGTGATTAAAAACAAACCCTTGCCTGACATCACCATACTTTACTGCACTTTCTGTCCCTATGCCCCCATCCTGCACGCACGCACGCACACCTCAGTCCACGCCGACTGCCGACTGGCTTCAAGATGGCCAAACAACTCTCCCTGCAGTCCCCCACAAAAGCTAAGAGATGTCTGTCTTCGTCTTGCTCAGCTTCTCTCAAAATCAGTGATAAGAAGCTGGCCACCCCTTCCATTTTGACGCAATCTGTGATGTCCACTATGCCAGCCATCTCTCCTTCCACCGTGTGGGTGCTGGGGATTGAACTCAGGTCATCAGGCTTGGCGGCAAGCACCTTTACCCACTGAGCCGCCTCACCACCCATGCCACCACTGTCTTCATTAAGTATTCACCTCTCTGTGGAGCACGCTTGCTCCTCGCTTCATTCTTCAGGTCTCCACCCCCCATCCCCCAAGGAGGCCTCCGTGACCAGGCAGAGGCCCCTTCAGGACATCACAGTCCACATGCAGTTGTCGCCTGCACTGTTTACGGTGGTCTGTGATCTCGAATGAAAAGGGTGGGACTGCCGCTTTTTGCCCCTCATGCGCCTGTACGTACATTGAGGCGACGGAGGGTGCTACCGTTTCTCTCTCTGTTTTCCTGGCTGCTGTATCCCTGAAGCTGGCACATCCAATGTGCTCAGTAAATGCTTATCGGCTTTATTATCGATGCTAAATTTCAGTCTAAGCCTGGGACTAGCGCTGAGCCTGGAGTGCTAGGAGGTCTATTGAGAACAGGACCAAGGTCAGGGCTAGGACCACGGACAGTGTCTGGGCCTGGAAGTCGGGCAGGAGCAGAAGCTGTGCCTGCAGAGCCAACAAGCAGGCGGGGCGGTGCTGGAAGGAGCGGATGGTATAAGCATTTTGGGAAACAGGCGGGACACACACTGTGTAATAAAGCTGGGCCTATGCGGAGCTTCTGAACCTGCGGTGACTCCCAAGGCGACAGCCACATGGCAGAACCAGCCACACAGTGCCCGGGGGGAGCGCCAAGGCTTCCATCAGCTCTTGTTGATTGACTGTGGCTTATTCACACTGTGGAATAAAAAGCCACGAGGACAAACTACAGCTCCTGTAGTAGAAAGGTCCTGGGTCATCCATAAAGAAAGTTTGAGGGAGCCGGGTGGTGGTGGCGCACAACCGTGACCTCGGCAGAGGCGGGTGGACGCTGCCAGCCGGGAGGCCAGCCTGGTCTACAGAGAGGGTTCCAGGCCAGCCAGGGCTGCACAGGGAGAGGCTACACCAGATGTGTGAAAAGAAAGAAGTAAAAAAGTGTAGGTCTGAGGAGAGAAGATAATGAACGTCATGCTTTGAGCTGCAAGTGCGGTGTCTTGGGATAGAGTGACGAGAGCAGCCCCGACGGGAGATTCCTGGGGATGGCTTGTTTGTTCTGTGTTATAGATGACACTTGAAACTCAGGACGTGGGGGCTGAGGCAGGGAGTGCGGGAACCCAAAACCAGTCTGCACTGCACGGTAAGAACCATCTCAAGACTGCAAGGGATGGGGAGGGTCAGGGAGATGACGGGGTGCAGTGATGTGTGATGATGACGGGGTGCAGTGATGTGTGATGATGGGGTGCAGTGATGTGTGATGATGATGGGATGCAGTGATGTGTGATGATGGGGTGCAGTGATGTGTGATGATGACAGGGTGCAGTGATGTGTGATGATGATGGGGTGCAGTGATGTGTGATGATGATGGGGTGCAGTGATGTATAGATGACCATGTGTGATCACACTCACTGGTGTAATAACCACATCTAGAAAGGCGGGCGTGCAGCTCAGTGGGATAGTGTGAGCCTGGGAGCAGCGTTTGGCGGGTTGAGCAGAAGTGGGGAGGGAAATTTTATTGTGTGGATTTTCACTAAAACTCTTCATTTCCTGTGTGGACATGACACGTCATATTGAAGATATGGCTGTCAAAGGTCAGCTTTGGGCACCGGTTCTCTCTGTTTACCATGTGGGTTCCAAGAACCCAACTCGGGTCACCGTCCTCGGGCCCGGCAGCCAGAGCCTTTGTCTGCTGAGCCGCCCTGCTGGCCCTTGGAGACATTGACTTACGTGTCCATCGTTTTTATTAGTTTTATTGTGCCGGGACCAAGCCCGGGCCTTGTATATGAAGGCAAATGTCCTCTCTGAGCTATAATCCCAGGCACTTGTTGTGGAAAAATAAAAAGTCCCGAACTGAGGTGATGGGTTTAGACTCAGGGGTTCCTCGCTGCCTCGTCTGCTTAGTATCTGGATGTGCTTGTGGGGTTCACTTCCACAACTGGAGAGACAGCTTGAGAAGAAAAGGCTGAGGCAGGAGAGAGGGCTTGATGAGCAGGAACAGGATGAGGCAGGGCGGGCTCCAGCTGGGGTAACAGGAGCGACAGGGCAGGGGCCCGATCATGTGGAGGAGAGAGGCTGAGAGGGCCCAGGAAGGAAGGGCTGGGACCCTGTCTCCCAACTCCTGGTCAAAGAGAAAGGTGTTTGGGGCTCCCTGACTGGTGTGAAGGGACAGAGGATGTCACTCGGTGCGTGCGGCGCCTGCCTAGCGTAGCTCTAAGTTTGAGCCCAGAATCACATAAACTGGGCGTGGCAGCGCAGGTCTAAAATCTCAGCACTTGGGAGGTCGAGGGCTAAAGGACCAGCAGGCCAGCGCCATGCGGGAAACTTAAGAAGAGCCTGGGCTGCGTCTCAAAGAGTAAAACAAAATAAGAGACAGGAGAGCAAGGGACACACGGGTTCCATGTGAACCTCCTCATGAGTCCACAGACTCAGACACGAGCTCACCTCCTCATGAGTCCACAGACTCAGACACGAGCTCACCTCCTCATGAGTCCACAGACTCAGACACGAGCTCACCTCCGCACCCCCCGCCCCCGCCCCCACCCCCCTGCCTCATGAGTCCACAGACTCAGACACGCGCTCACCTCCTCATGAGTCCACAGACTCAGACACGAGCTCACCTCCTCATGAGTCCACAGACTCAGACATGACCTCACCTCCTCATGAGTCCACAGACTCAGACAGGAGCTCACCTCCTCATGAGTCCACAGACTCAGACACGCGCTCACCTCCTCATGAGGCCACAGACTCAGACACGCGCTCACCTCCTCATGAGGCCACAGACTCAGACACGCGCTCACCTCCTCATGAGGCCACAGACTCAGACACGCGCTCACCTCCTCATGAGGCCACAGACTCAGACACGCGCTCACCTCCTCATGAGGCCACAGACTCAGACACGCGCTCACCTCCTCATGAGGCCACAGACTCAGACACGCGCTCACCTCCTCATGAGGCCACAGACTCAGACACGCGCTCACCTCCTCATGAGGCCACAGACTCAGACACGCGCTCACCTCCTCATGAGGCCACAGACTCAGACACGCGCTCACCTCCTCATGAGGCCACAGACTCAGACACGCGCTCACCTCCTCATGAGGCCACAGACTCAGACACGCGCTCACCTCCTCATGAGGCCACAGACTCAGACACGCGCTCACCTCCTCATGAGGCCACAGACTCAGACACGCGCTCACCTCCTCATGAGGCCACAGACTCAGACACGCGCTCACCTCCTCATGAGGCCACAGACTCAGACACGCGCTCACCTCCTCATGAGGCCACAGACTCAGACACGCGCTCACCTCCTCATGAGGCCACAGACTCAGACACGCGCTCACCTCCTCATGAGGCCACAGACTCAGACACGCGCTCACCTCCTCATGAGGCCACAGACTCAGACACGCGCTCACCTCCTCATGAGGCCACAGACTCAGACACGCGCTCACCTCCTCATGAGGCCACAGACTCAGACACGCGCTCACCTCCTCATGAGGCCACAGACTCAGACACGCGCTCACCTCCTCATGAGGCCACAGACTCAGACACGCGCTCACCTCCTCATGAGGCCACAGACTCAGACACGCGCTCACCTCCTCATGAGGCCACAGACTCAGACACGCGCTCACCTCCTCATGAGTCCACAGACTCAGACACAAGCTCACCTCCTCATGAGTCCACATAACACAAATAAGGCAGCATGTTTGCAGACATGTGAGCCACTGAGACACGCCATCTGCCCCCCGTGGCTGCTCCACACCTGGTCGCTGGGGGGCGTCTGAGCAAGAGGATTACACTGAAAACTGAGCTGTGGTGTGGGCAGCACCGGAGCTGCTCCCCCGGCGGGGAGCGGAGGGTGTGTGTGCCCTGCTCATGGCCCTCTTGCTGGATCCTGCTTCACTCTCATGTAGGTGATTGGGGGCGGGGTCTCTGTACGGAAACCCCATTGGCTTCTCCAGAAAAGCTGCTGAAGAGAGGTGTGGCCCTCAAAGACCGTGTCCTCTTTCCCAGGCCTCGCCCCTTCCCTCCCCTGCCACCATCATCACCCCTCCTGTTTCCCCTCCCAACGCTTGGAAAATTTTGGCCCTTCTCTTGGCACTGGGCAAGCAGAGAATTGGGTTTTTCTTGTGTCTCCCTCTGTGCCTCTCTGAAATATGTTGGGGGGCTGGCCTCGCCCTCCTGGCACCCTTCCATACTTGGAAGGCTGGCAGGGTGGGGGCAGCTTCCCAAACTGTGACTCAGCACCCCTGGTATTCAGTGTGTGGCCAACTTTGACACTTTAGTCACTGGGGACCATTGGTCCTACTGGGTGGGAAAGGGACAGACTTCCATGAGGGGTGTTCCAGGGATGGGGTCTGGTCCCATTCCAAAGTCACGCTCAACTCCTCCTGCCATACCCGCTCCCAGCGAAGCCTGGCAGTGAGACTTGGGCAAAGGCAGGACTCCAGGCATGAAAAAAACAAGGAGTCTCAGATACTGGGCTGAAACGAGTTGAAAAGGTGCCAGTAAGGAGGAGCTGGGGGATCCAGGTACCTCTTATTTTGGGGAGACAGCAGATGGACCATGGGAATAGGAAAATTAAGAGAAAGGGTTTCCAGACCCCCAGTGGGGAGACAGGAAGATGGGTTCTGGCCCTGCACCGATGGCCCGGGCTTGAGCGGAAGAAAGTTTGACTGACGGAGGTGCGAGGTCTCCGGGGGCTGGAGGCAGCCAGGGACAGACACCAGGAGGGCTGAGATCCGGGAAGCGGGGGCGGGGCTGCAGCAGCTGCCGTTTCCTAGTTGCTTCCCAGTAGTTCCCCTCAGTTCCACATCCAGTTGTTTCTAAGCCATTAAATTCTTTCCAGGCGAGATAAGAGGCCCCGCCCGCCCCACCCGAGGCCTGTCACGTGTATTGGGGAGTGGGTGGGAAGACTCGGGCGCACACAAGCGGGAGTCTGGAAGGGGACCGAATGTGGAAGACGCAGCCCTGTGCCCTGTGGGGACATCACTCAGCCTCTGCAGGCTCGCTGAGCCGTGAGTCACGGGTGCAGAGCGCTCGCTCGCCAAGAACAAGTTATGGGATGGTCCCTGCAAGCTCCGAGCCCTTCCCAGGACCATTAGTCCTCGCTCTGACCCATTTCAGCACTTCCAAAAGCCCTGTTCCTCTCCAGCCCTGTTCTCAGCCCCTGCACAGTTACCTGAGAATTCCCGTTCTGGACGTGGGAAGCAGCTTCCTCTGCCCCATCCTGGAACCAGGCTCAGCAACTGCAGCCCTAGCATTCAAAATCTACAGTGCCTTCCTCCCAACGAGCAGCTGGACAGCTCAGCCCAGCCTGATCCTCCTTAGCCTCTTGATCAACAGCTGTACCCACCTGACTCCGGGAGTCCCGGCTCCCAGGCCCTCTCAGGTACCAGCGCCCCCTCCAAACCCTGGTGCGTACAACACACACCACATTCCGCCTTAGCCTCCTGAACACACCTCCAGTGTCTGCTTGCACTGTCTCTGAGCTGAGGAAAGCCCCTGTCCTGGAAGGCACTCCTGCAACTCTGGCAGCTGTGGAGCAGCTCGGGAGGGACCTTTCTCCACTCCTCTGGGTCTCCCAGAACTGTTACTTACCTGGAGAGCGTGGTGGCTTCTGGTGGCTGCTACACCTCTGAGCCTGCTCAGTCCCAACCCCAATAAAGGAAGTGTCTTGGGCAGGGTAAGCACCCCTCAGTGGCCCTGGACTCTTGGGGGGACCCTTCACTTGTCCCTTGCAGCAGAGGCTCCTGGAGCCAGTACCAGACTGCTGATCTCACAACAGAGACAGAAAAGAAGGGAGCCTGAAGTAAGCAGGGGGAGGAGAAGGGGAGGGCCAGCATGAGGTCAGGGATGGGAGCGGAGATAGGGCAGGTCTTCCCACCCCTCCAGCCCCTCCCACCAGCCCCCCTCCACGTCCAGGGTGGGTCTCCCCCCAAAGCCTCATCTTAACCCCTCTGTCGCTTATTTTACCCCCTGTCCTTTCCCTATTCCACTTTTAACCTTCTCCCTGCTGTAGTTTCTGAGAACCTGACATTCTTCATTACTCTCTTTGCCACCTCTGCCCCTTGCCTTTAACCCATTTCCTCCTCTCTGCCAGCACCACTCCTCAGGGCTCCCCCACCCCTTCCTAGCTGCTGCTGCAGGTTGGGTCTTACCCTGTGTTGCTCAACACCTCTTTTTCATCCCTAAACTCCACTTTGGTTGTTCTGTGCAGGGAGCAGAGGTGGGGACAGTAGGCGACCCACACACACTCAAGCTTAAACCTCTCCAATGCGAGATCATTGCTGGGGCTCCCCGCCACTCCTTCCTGCACGTCCTCCTCCCCTCTCCTGCCTCAGCCTCTGGCTTGGGCTTGAGCAGCTGTCCTCTGCCCATTCTGCCCAGCCCCTCTGGTTCCCAGCCCGGCATCTCTACCCTGTTCTCATTCTCCCCACTCAGCGGATTCCTAGAGAAATAGCCAGTGAGACTTGGGCACTGGCTGGGCAAAGGCCTGGCTGAACCCCAGGACATACAGCTTGGGAAAGTAGCAGTCGGGGCGCGTGGAGATAAGGAAAGGTAGAAAGAAGGTCAAGAGGTTGGTATAGGGGAAACCAAGCAGCCAGAGGTGGCGACTGGCATGTGCTTAGCCTCAGAGGGAGGGCTATCTGAGGGAAAGTGTCCCATCCCATTCACCCCCGCCCCAGGTTTCACACGGAGGACAGAACTAGTTCTACTCCACTGCGACTTTATCATCAAGGTGTACACACCTTAGCCAGGCCAGGCCATGGTGGAGGACTTGACGGGATCCACATGGTGCCATGCGGGTTATGGCGCAGGTGTCTGCAGTCGCAGGTATGCCTGAGAGGAAGTGGCCGGCACAGCATGTGACCATGGCCACTGCCACCAGCCCCATGTGGCAGAGAGCAGCAGCCCACATGACCTCTCTCATGGGTCACCCGTGTGTCCGTGTGTCTGGGTGTGTGTCTGCTTTTTTCCTGGCTTTGATGGGAAGATGAAGTCAGCCTGTGGGACAGAGCTGGGCTTAGCTTTCTTCCTCTGCCTTGGCCAGAAGCCCCCAGAGCCATGAGTAGGTGATGGCTCCTCAGGTCTCCCAGGAAAGTGAGTAGCGGCAGATAAAAAGATGAGGGGTCTTCAAATTGCATCACAGGGAGAGCAGGTGGCAGTGTGGCTCTTACTAGCCCTGATTTCAGAGTGTGCTCACTGGTGGATCTATGTCTTCCCTAGGTCCTGCCCCTTACCTTTATTGTTTGGAAAGTAGGGTCACCCTAAGCACAGTTGGCCGTGTTAATGGCCAGGAGACTTGGGGGTTGGGGTCTCTGCCCAGGAATGCAGGACTCCAGTTTATGATCTTACAAGGCACCTGGGGAAGGGACAGGAGCAGATACAGATGCAGTCTGAAATCCTGATTGTCTAGAACCGCCTCCTCCGGGACCCCAGGCTCCTGGGAAATCATGTCCTTCCATAGTCTGGAATGAAGGTCAACTCTGGACCACAGGGACTGGGGGAGAAGGGCAGGGAAGCCAAGAGTTCAGAGCTGGAGTGGCTCCAGTAAGGTGTCCTGCGGGGCCAGCAAGGTCACAGCGCTGTCCAGAGCCGTGTGTGCTAGCTGTTCCCAGGATCCTTAGTCCAGGGGGCTTTGGCTCAGGGCCCCATATCCTTGAATGACCCTTAGAGTTCAGAGAGACAGAGACAGAGGCAGAACTGAGGGCAACTGAGGGCAGGGCCTAAAGGCACAGACGGGAACGAAGAGAGGCCAGAGGGCGACCGAGGAAGTATCCCAGAGAGGCAAGGGCAGGAAACAACTTGGCCTCTGTACACAGCAGCGGTGCACAGTGCAGGCCTCTCTTCATCTTCTGAAGAGACAGGGCTCATGGTGCTGCTCAGCTCTGCTAGGAGTGAAGTCAGTACCTCTTCCCAGAGCCTATTGTCCCTCCCTCACCCCCAATGGCTCTGGGAAGGGGAAAGACTGCAGATGGAAAGGTTCTGGGAAGGAATGGTGAGAAACTTGGATTTTGAGATTTCTCCTACACTGATATGTGTAAAATCAGAGTCGACACGGTGGTCACCATCCACGGTGGAGAGCTGAGTAATGCAGGGAAAGGACAGGGATCCCGGGAAGCAATGAGCTCCACAGGATGGGAGAAGCACAGGCTAGAGGGCGCCGCGCGGGCGGGCGGGCGGGCGGGCGTGGAGGGATGGAGGAGGGGGGACATGTCTCTGTTGTGACAAAACAGCCACACAATTGTTTTGTTCTGTGCTCTGAGCGGGTGGGCGCCTCTATTTACCAGAGGGACTGAGGTCGCTGTGGCAACCACACATCTGGGCCCCGGAATCCAGATGTGCTGTGTCCAGAAGCCATAGCAGAAGGATGAGGCAAACATTAGGCTCCCCAGTCCCGGCCCCCACAGCCAGGGAGAGGACGGAGTAAAGTGCAGAGGAGAAGGAAAAGCATGCAGGGAGGAGAAGAGGTGACAGGACAAGGAGTGCTGACTGACCTGACTGACTGAGGAGTGAGCAGGAAAGGGGAGGGGCCACAGAGAGAGGAAGCTGTACAGTGAGAGGTGTGAAGACCAACCAGCATGACCATGAGGCAAAGGAAGGGGAGATGCAAAGGGTCGGAGAAAAACCAACGGGGGGGGCTGGGGGGGGGGGGGGCAGAGGCTGAAGAAAGGCAAGAGACAGCAGGGCAGGGATGACGAGGATGGCAGAGGAGGAACTGTTAGCAAAGAGCTGAACGGGAGGCAGGGAGCTCAAGTGCCAGAGTGACCGTGCCCCGGCACCCTGTGGTGGCACTGGAGAG